TGTCTGAGTAAACAAATCTACAACACAAAACTGATCATTCTTACCTAGCTTTGAAAATGTACAGAAAAAAGTAAAGGACTTCCCACACTTCCACGAAATCACCGGAACAGGTTCAATATAACATATTATTTAATGATCAAAACATATTCCCAACAAAACTCCAAATCATTAACTCTTAAGCTTCCGAGGTGCTTCCATACATGTATCTAAACTTTCAGCTGGGAAATAGTGATGCATATAAAAGCATCTTAGGCAGCATCTGTACATTTTTTGTGATCAATATTTTTACACAAAAATAGATGCCCACCCTATAGCATAAGGAGGATATCAGTGAGTGCAACATCCTGATAGACAATCTCATCATGGATTTGCCTGCCTACGGAATGATCAGAGGCACAGTTGGTGTGTTTTCCTTTACTTAGCCCTCTGGCACTGTGCATGTTATGCTTCCTATCTCCTGAGTGTTCAGAGATCAAAACCACATGCCGCAGCTTAATCAATAATATTAATAGGCATGAACTATTGCCCTGTCTGCCTGATTTCACTCAATCACATACATTAATAATTGATAGACAGCCATGGCGAACTGGAGTTCTTAGTGTGAAAAACTGAACGCTTCACCTGAACACTCGCTTTTGTTGCAACAGACAGATCAATCAGTGGGACAATCGAGTAAACCACAAAAATGCAAGCTTTCGTAAGTGCAGCCCGTCAAAACCCCCCTGAACAATGAATGTATGGTGAAAAATCCGTGAACCTTTAAATTCCAGTTCATTCAAGACACACCTATAAATGGAACTATTTGTACTATTAGCCATAACTATTTGCATTAGTAGTCGATAATTATTGTATTGTATTACACGATTGTTGCATAATGAACAGATATTTATCCTTATCGCCTGACAGTATGAAACCTTGAGATGTTCTTGGTGTTCTAGTTCGTATTCCAAATTTGGGGCTTAATGACTTTCAAAATTATGCATTATTGTTGTGTCACTGTTGACAACTTTTGCACAACAGGCAGAACAAACAATCCAGTCATGCTGTTGACACAGATGCTCTTGGTCTTTCACGAAATGGCTGGATGAGATCCTCAATCTCGCAATTTACTTGCCACCAAACAAACAACATGGGCTGAACAGCTTGCTCTCGTTTGTGGGTAAAATCGTCAGGATTTACACATCCGTGCTCAGATGCATCGAGTTGCCATGGAGTGACCCAGGGGTATGGTGAGAGGAGAAAAACTCATAGCAGGATGGGCAAATTAAGGAGCTGATATAATATGTCCATATTCTGAAGGTTTACCAGTCCACACGTTTAAATATTATACTGTAAATAGTAAATTCTGACTTTGTCAGCATAAACGCCAAGAATTAAATTCAATGGGTGAAACAAGAAGTCAAAAGCCATCCTTTGATTCCCTCTAATCGCCTGTGACTTGTTGATTTCTCTTGTTTTTTTAAACAGTTATACTACAGTACTGCTCTATAAAAACAGAAGAGACACTTCTTTGTTTACCAAGTAGTGGAGTGAACTCCACGGTGTTGCCTCCCTGGTACTGTTGACATCGCCACACCACTGTTGACTTAACCCAGCCCTATTGAATAACCGACATTGTCCGTCTGGTTAATAAAAGAACACAGTTACAGCTGGCTGAGCCCATACGTATAACCTCCAAGACTTACTTTAGGTACCTCAGGATAAGCTGCAGTTTATTTTTTAAAACTGCATTTGTTCAGTTTTATGCTTACGTTTAATCTGCAAGAGCCTTTATCAAATACAATCATATAGACAAACTGCCTTTTAAAGAACTAGCATCAAGTACTTTCATCCCATTTCTTAATAAACTATTTTTATAGATGGTAAATGTATAGTCAACAAACCATATGCTAATTCATAGAGAGATCAGTTTATAGCATTCTGTGCCTAACAACCTAATTCACATTTTCTAAGATTCAATAGTTATAAAACACAACCTAAGAAAGCAATGTGAAATTCTAGAAATGAATGAATCTAATGAAACTAAACAGAATGTCTGTAATCTGTAATATATTTTCTAGGGTACATTATATATTCCAAAAACAATTAATAAATTGATTTGACTTTATAATTTCCTATTGATTTTTTTCTGTTTTAAATTATTTTCCATCTGAACATTGCCTGAATAATAAATAATGTATTGATGTATGTCCCCTTAGTATCTCTTGCATGACTTGCATGTTTCCTTAGCGTTCTATTTGTATTGTATGGATTGCTTTCTTTTTATTATGACAAAACACAAAAGCATATTATCGTCTGGTTCATTTATTCTTTTTTACTTGTCTCATGGTGTTCTTTACTGGAAACTGACCTACATTCATAATGGTTTCTTCACAAAGTCTGCATGTTTCTCTGAAGGATACATATATCTATTTAAGATATAAAGTTAACAAAGAACAGGTTAGTCACTTGCGATGTGTGCAGGGAAGCACGAAAGTTAACTTTTCATTTAGATTTTTTTTTTTAGAAAAGGTTTTTTTTTGTTTTCAAAAGGCCAGTCATTAGATTACATTTCTCAATGAGAAATGATTCAACCACTAGGTGGCATCCTTACATAACGTCACAAAAACGCTCGCTGGAGCATATCTGCAAAGTCTACCTTCAGGCAATTCATACAGAAGTATTTTGATTTTAACACATGCAGTACAATCAATCTAAAATTCAAATTAAACTCCTGTTTTCCCCAGAGAAAACCACTGAAAAGCATACTGTTCTATGGGTGTCGTAACCATCAATTTCTGAGTCTAACAATCTCATGAGAACAAGTGTGATTTAATTGCTTTTACAACTCTACTGTATGGTGTAATAACAGAGAACTGCTGTTTTACAATTGGAGGGTTTAAAGTTTAGTAATAATGGATTAAATATTGTACTGCATTTTTCTATGTTGTGCACTTTATTGTAGCTAAATTCAGACTTTTAATGCCAAAATGGAATTTTCTATCAAAACATTTGGCACATCCCAGTGTAAACCATAAAGATAATGAATTACCCTTAATCCCTTTAGATGTTATGTAAGATGTGACAGACTTTTTACAAAATATAAAGATGCAAAAAGATAGCTCTTACTGTGTGTAATGTCCGAGTATAAGAATGGTTCCAAACAAGAGGTCACCATACTGCTCTTTTATTTGCTAGAATCAAGATACATGTTTTAGAAACCAAGCAAACCTCATCGGTAAAGTGATGAAAAAACAACACCTGAATCTCTGTTTTCAACAGCTGTACATTTTCTAAAAATATCTAAGATGGTCTTTTTCCTTCTGGGAAACTTAGAAGGACAACTACAACCAGGGGACAAGAAATTAAAGGAAAACAAAGCTTTTACAGCCAGGCTGCAGGTAACTTCAGGAGAAGGCATTTGGTTTACAAATACTTTATACTTTGACCAACACCAGTACAGATCCCAACTGAATATAGGACTTTGAAGCTATAGATAAGAATAGTCAACATAATAAAGCCACCTGCCAATGAACAGGTTACATATTTAATACCAGGAAAGATTGTTTTTTTTATGACCACATTGACACATTTATTGCAAACTTTGCATGTAGGCACTTACCTTTCAATTATTTCTCAAGGTAGGGAATGAAAGAAAATTGTTTTCTAGAAAGACTAATTTGCTTCATTCTGAACAGTGCCTAATGAAAACCCAGTGTGCTTTCAAGCACCCTTTCAAAACTAAAGACTGTTCCAAGTTTGTCAACCTTACAAAGACTTTGCTGTAGATACATCATTGTGTGGACAGACAACCCTTAAGTTGGTGATCTCTTCCACCAAGTAGGAAGGGCTATGAGCTCAGCAAGAATAGTATTTCACACATTAAACTGGAACACACCTTGAATTAAAATCCTTTCAGGATACACAACCTGCATTGAGGTATGAAAACTGATGACAAGTTAAATAACCAGTTTAGAGCAACAGCTTAGTTTGCTAATCATATTTTAATAGGCACTGAAGAAATCAGCCCTGTAAGTATGTTTTTACCATTGTGTGAGCTCATTGCTTGTTGTTTTACCACCTACCACCACCAAATAAAAAAAAAAAACTATCTTCTACACACACCATAAAATAGTACAGACCTCAAACACATAGTATTAAGTCATGAATACTTAATTATTTTTATGGAAAACAGGCAAAATGTCCTTACCCTGTAGTCAAATAATAACCCTAAAACCCAAAGTTTAATAATCCGCCTTAGAGTATCTTGGGGTAGAAATACACAACTAAGCTATCTACTTTTATAAGCTACCTTTAAATTGTGAAATAAAATGACTAGATATGAAAAAGTAGGTAAACAGAAGAGTAAAAAAAAACATATCAGGCCATCTGGTGTTTTGTTTTATTTGAACAGATTGTGTTTTAAAAAAGTTTTATTTTGTAGTTATTCAGTTTAATTGGGAGAGAAAAAGAAGACAGCTTTGTAATACAATTGTCGTGCAAAAAGACTCCTTAAACGGGGATTATGTGAACAGACCACCTGTAGGGCATTCATTGCCACTTCAATAATGTCCCAGCTCATGCCCTGCTGCCTTGTGTCCAACCAACAATACCGAAAAAGCTGCTTAAAAGACTGTTCCGTCGTTTTCCCCATGTTCACGAACTGTTACAAGTCTCGAATTCTACAAAACCTGATAAAGTTCTCCTGCCCCTTTATTCATCTTTGAAAGCTTCACGGTGGCAAATTAGCTAAAAGGAAAGAGAAAAATTCTAACTACATGTTTTTTGGTGGAGGAATCAGAGTTGCTCACATGAAAAGACCGAGCTCCCTACAGCTTAAACCTATTCACTCAGTCCTCGTTTAAGAAATGATGTGCGGAGCCATTGTGGAAGCAGGTAAAAAGTTCAACAATTACCACTCAATCTGTTACTCCGGCCCCTCCACGTATAAATAATTTTGCGTAGGCAACGGAACAGTGCTTTCTTTGGTCCGAATAATTAAGAAGTAGTACAAAAGTATAAATTTATCAAAAAGTCGTTTTATTGTCAAAATAAAGTCAAATATTTTGCGCTCACAAAGCGAAATCTACACTTTATACAAAATGTACATTTTTTATAAATTTGGATATGTACACAATTTACAACTTTGTACAAGATCAATAATTATATAAATACACTTTTTTCAATTAAAAAAAAACCCGTATAATATTTGGGTACTACAACATTAAGCCTTTTTTAAACCATCTTTGATATTATAATTGCAGTCAATTACACCCCCTTGGCACTACGTTTGGGTTAAACAATTAAATAGTCTTAGTCTCCTCCTAAAGACATTCAGATTTAAGACATTAAATGTTTCTTTGCATAAGAGAAGAAAGACAATGCACTGCCACTTGTTTTCCAACTGACTCCCACTGTAGGTCATGTGCATGTAAATAGGTTTTAGCAGTGTTGATGTCGTTGTTCCAACCGGTTCCTATACTTCTACCTTAATAGAAGCGATTAGGAGATTATTAATATGCGAATTTGAATAGACCGATCCAGAATCTTTATACAATTAGCGATCCATAAATCTCCTCAAACCTGTGATAGTGGCATCTGTTTTGGGCACGACACTGAGCTCGCAGTACCCGATCTCCACGTTAGTCCTGTACTAACGTCACTGTACATCGACCCGCTTGTGCCTTTACTTCCCCAACAGCATCGCGTACAGAAAGTTCGCCAGGAGTCCAGCGTTTTTCCCGACCAAATCCACACGCCAGACGTGATGCCCACCAACAGGCACATGAAGTATTTCAACATAAATACGGCGTAGTCCGGCTTTTTGAGCTCTTGCTCCAACAAGCAGGAGCAGTTGTGGGCTATTTCCCAACTCTGTCTGTTGTGCTGCTCGTAAAAGTAGCAGGCAACTATGATTGTTGCAGGTACAGTGTAAAGCACTGTAAAAATCCCAATCCTGATCATCAGTTTTTCCAGTTTGTCCGTTTTGGTGCCTCCTTGTTTGATCACACTTCGGATCCGGAATAAAGACACAAAACCCGCTAAAAGAAACATTGTTCCAATAAATAAATAGATAACTAGAGGCGCCAACACGAAGCCTCTGAGATTGTCCAGGTTTTGATTGCCAACATAGCAGATTCCAGTCACTGGGTCGCCATCCACCGAACTCAAGGCCAAAACGGCAATCGACTTCATGCTCGGTATCAGCCAGGCTGCCAGGTGAAAATACTGCGAGTAACTTGCGATAGCCTCGTTACCCCACTTCATTCCGGCTGCCAAAAACCAAGTCAGAGACAGAATAACCCACCAGATCGAGCTTGCCATGCCGAAAAAATAAATAAGGAGAAAAACAACAGTACAAAGTGCAGGGCCAGTGGTCTCATAGTGAATGTGTTCCACGTCATATTCCCGGTTACAGGCTACTTTTTCGTGCCCAGCGATGAGCCGCACGATGTAGCCAACTGAAACAAACATGTAACACGCGGACAGGAAAATGATTGGCCTTTCGGGGTATTTGAACCTTTCCATGTCGATTAAGAAAGTGGCAACCGTGGCAAAAGTGGAAACGAAGCACAGCACTGACCAGAGTCCTATCCAAAACGCAGTAAACGTTCTCTCGTCCTGGGTGAAGTAGGGGTTATGGCAGGGCACTGCACAGTTCGGGATCTGTCCCGTCTTCACCCGATTGTAGAGGGGGTGTCGTTCGCTGCTTACCTGGACCATGGGCGCACGGCACTGGCAGCCCGGCTGACAGGGCGAAACTGGGGCTCTGTGTTTGCTCCCAGGTACAGCAGGTGGCATGTACCCGTTTTTATTTTTGTGGGAGTTAGAACCCTTGTCTTGGTGATTTGTCGACACCGGGGGAACCGTGGTCGAGTCGGTTCTGTTGTAGTCCATACAGAGAGTATCTGGGTTGCCTTGTACCGGGAGTAAGTCACATCTCATTCGGTCTGGCCAGGGAAAGCCATATTGTCTCATTAAAGGTGCACAGCCTGCCCTTGCTCTCTCGCAGACACTCCTGCAAGGCGGCAGTGGTTTCTTATAGTCCTCTAGGCAAATAGGAGTATACATGCTGCAGAGAAAGAACTTCAGGTCCGGAGAGCACTGAATCTCTACAAGAGGCCAGAACTGATGTACTTCCAGGCCAGCTTCGTCCTGGGTGTCGTGATTAAACTGGTTAGGCATGTAGGTATAATTGTAGCCGATTCCTTTGCACAACGGCACGGCGATCTCCTGACAGGTTAGCTCCTTCGCTGTAGTGCAGCTTGATCTCTGCAAAACAGCAAGTGCAAGAAGCAGGTAGATCTCCAACAGGTAGCACTCCATCCTTAACCGCTTAACAGTATCTCCCGGCAGAAGACGAAACAACGTTGAAGTAGTCCTATCTTGTTCCTCCAGAAAAGACCCCAGTCCAATTAGATCTTAAACAGCGAACTCATCTCGCTTCAGTCTTTGGCACGGAGTTGCAACCAATTTGCAAACCGTGGATACTTTACAGAGGAGGCGCAGAGAGAAGAGAAAAAGATTAGCCTCCAGGCGTGCAGTCAAAATGGCTGAGGAAATACTAGAGCACCGGTTACTTTTCCTTGAAATAATCTATGTGCTGCAAGACTGCGATTCTTGCAGAGCTACCGGTCCTTCTGCAGACTCTCTTAACCCGCTTTGAAAATAAGAAAGAAGTTCCAAGGCTTCTACCGACACGGTTTAAATACACTTCTCCTTTATTGACAGCACCAGTCCTCGTTACTTGCTACAAAATGCTCTGCTTGAGAATGGAGCTTTGAATATTTATACACAAAGCAGTGGAGTCACTCCCCCCTGCACGCTTGTCTAATCACTGAACGGCAGGGGCGGAGAGCAAGGATAAGTCAATCAAGTGTTCTTAAGGTGTTCTGTTACAGTGGTGTGTTACATTTTCAGAAACTTGCTAATTGCTGTTTGCTGATTGACTGATTCTTGTCTTGTTTTTCTTCATGATATCCGGACATAACACATGCACCGCGACTGTATTTGTGATTACATGCGGCAAATTAAATCAGAGAGCTACCTAAATTAAAGGGCACCTTTCCTGTCAAAATTAACATGTCATATTTAAGTTTTCCTAAAAGCGGGGATTATCGGATTTACGTAAACATATTTTGATTGAGACACTCAAAATTAGGCATATATATATATAGTCCATACTTATTTCCAGTTAGTTCTGTCATTATTTACAATAGGACAGATTCAGAAACTAGAACTCTAGCGCATTAACTAAAACATAAACCTGTTTTTGTAGTACTTTTTAATAATGCAAAACACAGGTTTTTATTAAAGCGATTTTCAGCGTCTAAAAGTAATAAACATCATTGTAATAATAAAAACTACCTTTAATCGCTTGCAAGTTGACGGGGGGAGAAGCTTGGCAGGTTAATTTGCGCTTGTTAGGACGTCCCGGGGGGTTGTCTTCAACCAAGAATGGAGTGTTTATTTTTTAATTGAAGTGCTGATGTTTCGTTTAGCGCTTGTATAGGACTCACGCAGGGGATGTAATTACAGTAATATCAGGAACAAGCATTAGAGTTTGTACAAAGAGTAGCAGTTAAAAGTTTTTTTTCTTTCACTCATTTAATTCTATTGATTTTAGAAAGAAACTGAACATGGTGGGTAGTTTGCAAACAGAGCAAACAATTAACGAGAATTCAAGTTCTCTCAAACCAGTCTTAAGTGCCCTTTCCTAGCAAGTAAGGTAGGCTGTATTTCAATGCTGTGGGATTTTAATTTATATCAGCGCCTTGGTGTTCAATTAGTGGGCTATATACTCGTGTTGTGTGTCATACAGCATTTTCTGAGCGTCCAGTATGAATATTATAAAATACGGGCCTTTAAACTTCTGATGCATTTTTACTGTAGAATAATTGAAATAAAGGACCTGATATAACTATGATTCTGGAGTCAGTCATCTTCACATTTAATGTTTTTTTTTTAAATCTTGGGTACATTTACCGAATGGCAGGAAACATAAAAAAATGAAAATAATTTACGCAGTCCTCCTTATTTTGCACGGATCATAAACTAAAGAATGAACTAACGTGGTTACATTTGGTGCCGTTTACATGCAAAAGCATGCGTTATTCTTAAGGAGCACGTTTCATTTCAAGAGAAACGGGGGCTCACCGAGAACCAGAGCATAAGGTTCATTTATCATGTAGTCGTGTTGTTTCCGTGTAGAATTAATGTATTTTCCAGAAGTTCCAGAAGTAAACCCTTAATTAAAATATACACTAAAATATTAACGAAACAATATCGAAATTGAGATGAATACTTCTTTCTGAAAAAGCACGAAATGACTCTTAGAAACTAAGTTTCTAAAATCTGACTATCAGCAATTTCTTAGACGCGAACCTCAAGAGAAAACTCAACAACAGGTGTCCAGTCACAGGGCCATGAACATACATAAAAACGAGCAGATGACAATGAGCATCAATTACACCGATTGTGTCTATCAGATTTGCAGGCCTATTGATTAACAGCTAGATAGGTCTCTGTTCCTGCCACCAACTGTTGAAGCCTCCTTGTAACTTTGTTAGCTGGAGTTGGATTACATACAACTATGGCAATTCCAAATTTCCAAGTACACAAATGGAATTACTGCATCTGTCTAAAACCTTCGCCAGTTTCTGTGCTAAATTTAACCCCTCAAGACCTAACAGTGAACATAGGGGTTGAGATATTTTTTAATAGGGAATTCAATTTGTGTTTGTGGTACAACATGCATGTAACCATATGCATAAACTTCTAAAAACATATTTTAATTGCTCGCTTATTATGAAACACGATATTGAATTCTTAATGTATGCATTATGCAGAAACAGCATGAAAATGCATTACAGTAGATTATAACATGGGAATATATTTAAATAAGGTACAGAAATACAACAGACAAATGTGTAACTGACATTTGTATTTTTCAATATATCCCCCACAAATACAGTGAAAACAGTTGTACATGGGATAAAACAATGTTAAAATATGCATGTTTTGCAAAATAATGCATAATTACCTCTAACAAGCTCTGAATGTAAAATTAAGTAGATGGAAAATAATTTGCAAACAGTTTCTCAATTGCTATGGATTTGAAAACATCTTATGTTGGATACTATGCAAGAAAGAAATTTGAATACAAGAGTCCCATAAAAGGAGGCCTTGCTTTTATAGTTTCATATAACTGCATTTTCATAAGCCTGTCATAAGTAAGATGGAATATATGTGTAAAAATGTTTTTAACCTAGTGGACGTAGAGCTTTATTGGCATTTAAGATTTTTAAAATCCAACTAGTATTACATCAAAATTAAAATTATTTGAATATTTGGAGTGCCAGAATATTGTTATGAATATAAAACCTGTAAATCCTATACTTTAGTATAGGAGTTTAAGAACAGAATTAGAATCAAAACTGTGATAGTGTACTGCATACAAATATTTTTTTTTAAATAAAAAGGTGTGGTAGTGCAAATAAAGTGTCTTCACTGTTGTGGGGAAGGAGTTGAGGCACAAGTCATGTGATTTATTATAGAGACTACATTGACAGGATCCAGTGTTTAGTTGTGGGATTTGAACAGAAAAAGATGCTTATTCACTGGGACACTGATAATGCACAATACAAAATAAGGGAAAAGTTTTATATTGAAATGATTTAAGAAGTAACGCAATACAAAGGAATACCAAATATAATTTCTACAGTCTTTCCACCTGCTTGAAGGAAAACATACACAGATCTGAAATATAACTTTAACTTAGCTTAGTAATTTTATTTTTTATAAGTACTAAGGAATATACCTTACAAACATGATAATATATTCAAAAAATTAATGCATTTCTTTCACTTTGGGTCTCTTCCATAAAGTGTATTATGCTGTTTAAATATTGAATTTATCCAGTAATTTTAATAATTAATTAAACTTTGTTTTGTCCATCTTCTGCAGACAGTGATCCTTTCCTAAATTATTCCTGGCCTCAAAATAATTGTAGGTACATTTAAAATGAATCTCAAAGTGTTCTCATCCTTAAGTAGCACTCCAAATAAACCCCCCCAAAATACGACCCAGCAAATAGTAAAGTGATAGTTTGTACCTATGCATGGTTACCCCAACAATAGTAATATTTTAGAATAAAATAATTGCGTATTCAGACTGATTTAAAATTTGGATTGGCAACACGGAAGCATTATGAAGTGTCGTGCAGGACCTGCCCATTAAAACACAATAAGAAATCAGGGCTTTAAAGACAGTTGAGTTTTCTATGAAAAACAAGCAGATTATTAGGTGGCCTTAATGTACTTCATTTCGTGGTTGGTGCACTTTTCAAAAATCATGAATAAATATAGGATGTCTTTATGATAATGATTCAACATCACATGAGACCAAGAAATATTAATTGTAATTGTAATTAAAAGCAATTAGACCTTGCAGAACTTCCTTGCAGTACTTCTACTCAATGCTTATGGTCTATAACTGAAATGAGTAGAAAGCGATGAGTACAGAAGTGTACCAACGCAGTCCTATTGATTTATATAGAAATGCTCCTCAATTTGCAAAACACTACAAATAAGTCAAGGCAATGTTAACTGGAGATCCAAAGAAGGAAGATCAAGCTCAAAATACATCCCATATCGTAGGACAAAATATACAGCACATTCTAAAAGAGTTCTATGCAAATTTTTCAGATTTTGCTAACTTGTTTTGAACTCCAAGAAGACATTTTGCATGTACCAGCTCTTGCTATTACTACCCCCCTCCCTGCCAGCTTTTATTTGTTCAAAGCTCTTCGGTTAATCATTTTCAGGTGGACCTGTGACTCTGGCACCCCCACCCTTTTTAATACCCTGAGGTGACAAAGCCTGTACCTTGTGAATTATTTCACCTTCAGCTCGTTACCTTTGACAAACAAGGTCTGCCCCTCAAATCAGTCTACTGCTGAGATGGGATTGGTCAGGAAATCCTGTCTTGAATTGAATTGTCAAGCTGCTCTGACAAAACTAGCTTTGGGAGGGGCAAAAAAGCTGAGTGGCTACAAGATGAATGTAACAATAGAACAGTGGCTTTTAAAACCCAAAACCTGATCCCTTAATGTATGTTGATAAGGCCTTATTCCAAAGTACACTGTGTCAGACTTTTTAAAAACAGACAGGACAGTTAATTTTACAGTGGATTTAGCATTTAACTTTAATATCTGTGGATTTGCACAAAAACATTGTGTCTTGGATATTCACATTTTTCTAAACAGTAAGATCACCACGAAGGTGATCAGTAAAATGATTTTCAGTTAGCAAATCAGTTATTTTAAGGCTTGTGTAAGATGCAAAGTAGAAATCTCTTCAATAAACGTCAGTCTCATTTTGTTGCAGAAACAAGGCTGTAATTCATTGAGGAGAGGAGCTGAATTTTAGTTTTCTCCAGTTAATGAATTGTGAGTTTAAAGCGATATTTGTTTCCAAGCAGAAGTTAAATTTATATTAACAAACACACTCTGAAAAAAATTGTAAGCTGCTCTTGTTTTCTTTTAAAAATTTATTTTTGGAAAATTAGTTAGTGCTACACCGAGTGTGTTATCCAAACACTCTAAATTGCTACTTGTTCGTGAAATGTTAATAAGCCTTGAAGCAGTGAGGCTGTTTCCATGAAACAACTGGCAACATTCATGACATGTTTATAATTGTGTTCTTTCTGCTAGTATTTAATGACGTTTTTGCTTAGATAAACATGTT